CCGTCCTCCCAAGCGTCGTCATCGTCATCCGCGCCAAGATCGCCAACGCTCTCTGCGGTCGATTTTCTGGTGCGCGAACGGCTTCGATCACGTGGGGCTGGTGCAGGTGGTGGTGGTGGTGGTGGTGGCGCGTACTGACCGCCTGGAAATCCGTGTGGTGGAGGTATAGCCTGGGCAGAGCTGCGAATAGATGGGCTGATACTGCCATCGTCATCTTGACTCTGACTCGTGCTCGCACTGCGACTTCGCCAGCCTTGACCTTGATGGCCGGTAATGTGACCATTGCCGTTTCTGGTGACTGCCAGCACTGAAGGTTGAATGCTCATGCCAGACTCCGAGCTGCCCGCCATTTGCCCATAACCGGTCATGCCGTGCATGCGCTGGCCAGACATTGCAGTGGCAGCTGTCCCTGGCAGCCCACGCCCTCTGAGCGACCCCGCGGCGTCGCTTTCCGATTCGCTCGAGCTGGAAGAGACGTCACCAAACCTCGGCCCGGCACCATGCGCCGAAAGCTGCAGGTTTCTGTCACTGCGCTTGCTTGGCATCCGGCGGGGGTGGTACGTGGCATCTTCGTCGAGGCTGGATGATGTTCCGAAATGAGCTGCAGAGGGGCTGAACAAGCTTGGACCACTGCCGCTACTCTGGGAAGCATCGTCATTGCTCAATGTTTCGCTAGCCGTCGACGAGCGCCGGCGGTCCTCTGGGTGCGCAAACTGCTGCAGTCCTGGTCGCGCAGTGTTGTTACGGTCAAGGGGGTTGCGCCTCGAAAATGATGACGCTTGCGGCGTCGCGGGTCCTCCTTCCGAAGGAGATGAAGATGATGAGGATTCTCTGAGCCGAGCAGCATTCGCTGCGGCGATCGACTCGGCCAAGCCAGGTACACCAACATTGAAGAGGCTGTACGTCGCCCCGTGTGGAGGCTGGTAGTCAAGAAGAGTCTCCTGTGGACTGACAGTCAGTCCGCTACGGTCACGAACCATAGGCGGACGCGCACCGGAAGCTGGATTCTGTCGATCAATAGACGCCCTCTTCTGCTTGGAGATCTTTCTCTGAGCGCTTGGGCTCTGACTGCTATGAGCCCTCGTCATGCTTTGCGACTGCGGTACAGAGCCAGGAGCGAACATGTGTTGCAATTGGTTGGAGAGGTTATTCCAACTCGCAGGGCCATGGGCAGGCGGCGGCATCGATTGCGACGCAGGATCGTTGCTCCAGTCAGAGTGTTGCGTCGCCATTTTTGAGTCCAGACTGCCGCTTCGTTGACGCGCAGGGGGCTCTGGACGCGTCGGGTGTCCAATGTTGAGGGCACGTGGATCAAACATCGCTGGTTGGGCACCGCTATATTGCCAATGGTTGTCAAGGCTGGAGGGCTCGCTTGGGGCGCCTTGCTGACTTTGTCGGGCACTGCGCAATGGCCCGCGCAGAGCACGCGGATCCACTCCAGAAAGATCTTCGCGGGATTGTAGGAATTGACGTTGACGTGCATAGTTGGCAGGCGTTGGGGTGACTCCATCCATAGGTTCTGTGGGCGTGTAAGTGATGCTCTGTCCGTACATCTCGCTGGGCTGGCCCACTCCATTCACAGGCGCCAAAGGGGCTGCGGATGAGGATGAGGATGTGGCAGCCATGCTCATTGCGAGGAGCGCGTGAGCTTGCCGCTGCTGCTCCGATGTCGCGCCGTGTCCCGGGTTGTTGCTAGTGCTTTGCTCGGTGACCTCGGGAAACAGGCTGGAGAAGCCCATGCTACCGCCGTGATCGCCTAGCGAGAGACCCTGCAAGCCGCTACCAAACCCTTCGCCACTAGCATCGCCTTCCCCGCCGAAGGGAAAGCCCAACTGACCAAAGGTCTCTGGTGAAGGCTGGACACCCAAGTCAGGGACTGCAGGATGCGAGAAGCGATTTGCACTTGGTCGCGCGCCATATTCACCAGATCCTACGCCAACAGGCCCGCTATTTGGTCCTCCCCAGCTGCTGCTGTGCGCGTGACCTCTTGCGCGCTTCTTGTTTGGCAAACCGGAACGCGGATCGAGAGTACTGTTCGCAGGAGAAGAGCTGAAGTCATCCTCAGGCCGCGTTGCTGGGCTCGAAAAAGGCGATTCGCTTGGACCAGGATTGTTGCGATACTGAGTGAATGAAGAATTGCTCTCCATGCCTGGACGTGTGGCCAGTAACGGCGCATTGCTTGAGGTAGGCATAGGCGCATACACCCCAACTTGTGCGGGTACGCTCGTCGGCATTATTCCGGTGTGCGCACCAGAGCCGACAGGTCCTGTAGCCTGGCTGTGCGAGGCTGACCAGCCCATGGGCTGAGTGATCAGACTCCACTCTGCGCTAGATACTGCGGGTGCAGGAGGTGCTACAGTAAAGGGGCCAGGCTCATCGAAAAGAATGAAATCCTTGGCTGTTCGATTAGTCTGAGCAGCCGCCATGTTGAAGTATCGTGAGATGGCGCAGAGAGCAGTGCGGATGAAGTGTAGGCGAAGTGCTGATGAAGTTTCTGCAAAGGACAACCTGAAGGAAGTCAAGCTTGATGCTGGAGGGGCCCTCTCGATGATGG